CTGCAAAAAATGCATTTTTCCACCTTACGATTCTTTTATATGAAATGATAGGAGGATTGGCAGCATCATTGTGATATTCTCAATCTACAAGACCAGGCTCATCATCGTCTGACAGCAGTAATGAGCTTCTACAAAAACAACACGGGTGAGTGCTTTTGAGGGAAGAGGGGTGCTTGCTGCGCGATTGCAGCAAGCGAAATGAGGTGTAAGCGCCACATAGGAAAGGTCAAGTCTGCTGCCAGATGAAGGCGCCCGAAGCAATTTTAGCTGAGTGGGCGCGAACGCGGGCACGGGCAGCTACACTTTATGGTGCCAACGCCACATGCGCCCTACGAGTAAAGCCGTTCGCGCCCCTGGATCCTGCGCCTTCATCTGGCAGTAGCTCTCACGACGGGAGTTAGAAGAAATCTCTCAACTGGAAATGCTGTTAAAATCCTGAAATTCTTTCAAAAACGGGGCGAAAAATTGGCCAAAAGTGAGGCAACTCTCACGTATAGTTGTCGTCAGTGGAGATGCCATTGTAACCGAAGACAGGAAAGCATACCTGACGAAATGCGATGATCGTGAAAATAAACATCCCCAAAACCCAAATGTAGCAAGTTAATTGAAAAGAGTACACAAGAGACTTACAAGACGATCAAAGCAGAATACGAATTTATGATGTGAATGCTACAATGCCTTGAAAAACTAAAGGACCCGTGCAAGCACGCACACCGATGTTCCGCAGCGATCTTCAAAGGACCACCGATTGGTTAAAAGTCCTTCTCTGCAAAAAATGCATTTTTCCACCTTACGATTCTTTTATATGAAATGATAGGAGGATTGGCAGCATCATTGTGATATTCTCAATCTACAAGACCAGGCTCATCATCGTCTGACAGCAGTAATGAGCTTCTACAAAAACAACACGGGTGAGTGCTTTTAAGGGAAGAGGGGTGCTTGCTGCGCGATTGCAGCAAGCGAAATGAGGTGTAAGCGCCACATAGGAAAGGTCAAGTCTGCTGCCAGATGAAGGCGCCCGAAGCAATTTTAGCTGAGTGGGCGCGAACGCGGGCACGGGCAGCTACACTTTATGGTGCCAACGCCACATGCGCCCTACGAGTAAAGCCGTTCGCGCCCCTGGATCCTGCGCCTTCATCTGGCAGTAGCTCTCACGACGGGAGTTAGAAGAAATCTCTCAACTGGAAATGCTGTTAAAATCCTGAAATTCTTTCAAAAACGGGGCGAAAAATTGGCCAAAAGTGAGGCAACTCTCACGTATAGTTGTCGTCAGTGGAGATGCCATTGTAACCGAAGACAGGAAAGCATACCTGACGAAATGCGATGATCGTGAAAATAAACATCCCCAAAACCCAAATGTAGCAAGTTAATTGAAAAGAGTACACAAGAGACTTACAAGACGATCAAAGCAGAATACGAATTTATGATGTGAATGCTACAATGCCTTGAAAAACTAAAGGACCCGTGCAAGCACGCACACCGATGTTCCGCAGCGATCTTCAAAGGACCACCGATTGGTTAAAAGTCCTTCTCTGCAAAAAATGCATTTTTCCACCTTACGATTCTTTTATATGAAATGATAGGAGGATTGGCAGCATCATTGTGATATTCTCAATCTACAAGACCAGGCTCATCATCGTCTGACAGCAGTAATGAGCTTCTACAAAAACAACACGGGTGAGTGCTTTTGAGGGAAGAGGGGTGCTTGCTGCGCGATTGCAGCAAGCGAAATGAGGTGTAAGCGCCACATAGGAAAGGTCAAGTCTGCTGCCAGATGAAGGCGCCCGAAGCAATTTTAGCTGAGTGGGCGCGAACGCGGGCACGGGCAGCTACACTTTATGGTGCCAACGCCACATGCGCCCTACGAGTAAAGCCGTTCGCGCCCCTGGATCCTGCGCCTTCATCTGGCAGTAGCTCTCACGACGGGAGTTAGAAGAAATCTCTCAACTGGAAATGCTGTTAAAATCCTGAAATTCTTTCAAAAACGAGGCGAAAAATTGGCCAAAAGTGAGGCAACTCTCACGTATAGTTGTCGTCAGTGGAGATGCCATTGTAACCGAAGACAGGAAAGCATACCTGACGAAATGCGATGATCGTGAAAATAAACATCCCCAAAACCCAAATGTAGCAAGTTAATTGAAAAGAGTACACAAGAGACTTACAAGACGATCAAAGCAGAATACGAATTTATGATGTGAATGCTACAATGCCTTGAAAAACTAAAGGACCCGTGCAAGCACGCACACCGATGTTCCGCAGCGATCTTCAAAGGACCACCGATTGGTTAAAAGTCCTTCTCTGCAAAAAATGCATTTTTCCACCTTACGATTCTTTTATATGAAATGATAGGAGGATTGGCAGCATCATTGTGATATTCTCAATCTACAAGACCAGGCTCATCATCGTCTGACAGCAGTAATGAGCTTCTACAAAAACAACACGGGTGAGTGCTTTTGAGGGAAGAGGGGTGCTTGCTGCGCGATTGCAGCAAGCGAAATGAGGTGTAAGCGCCACATAGGAAAGGTCAAGTCTGCTGCCAGATGAAGGCGCCCGAAGCAATTTTAGCTGAGTGGGCGCGAACGCGGGCACGGGCAGCTACACTTTATGGTGCCAACGCCACATGCGCCCTACGAGTAAAGCCGTTCGCGCCCCTGGATCCTGCGCCTTCATCTGGCAGTAGCTCTCACGACGGGAGTTAGAAGAAATCTCTCAACTGGAAATGCTGTTAAAATCCTGAAATTCTTTCAAAAACGGGGCGAAAAATTGGCCAAAAGTGAGGCAACTCTCACGTATAGTTGTCGTCAGTGGAGATGCCATTGTAACCGAAGACAGGAAAGCATACCTGACGAAATGCGATGATCGTGAAAATAAACATCCCCAAAACCCAAATGTAGCAAGTTAATTGAAAAGAGTACACAAGAGACTTACAAGACGATCAAAGCAGAATACGAATTTATGATGTGAATGCTACAATGCCTTGAAAAACTAAAGGACCCGTGCAAGCACGCACACCGATGTTCCGCAGCGATCTTCAAAGGACCACCGATTGGTTAAAAGTCCTTCTCTGCAAAAAATGCATTTTTCCACCTTACGATTCTTTTATATGAAATGATAGGAGGATTGGCAGCATCATTGTGATATTCTCAATCTACAAGACCAGGCTCATCATCGTCTGACAGCAGTAATGAGCTTCTACAAAAACAACACGGGTGAGTGCTTTTGAGGGAAGAGGGGTGCTTGCTGCGCGATTGCAGCAAGCGAAATGAGGTGTAAGCGCCACATAGGAAAGGTCAAGTCTGCTGCCAGATGAAGGCGCCCGAAGCAATTTTAGCTGAGTGGGCGCGAACGCGGGCACGGGCAGCTACACTTTATGGTGCCAACGCCACATGCGCCCTACGAGTAAAGCCGTTCGCGCCCCTGGATCCTGCGCCTTCATCTGGCAGTAGCTCTCACGACGGGAGTTAGAAGAAATCTCTCAACTGGAAATGCTGTTAAAATCCTGAAATTCTTTCAAAAACGGGGCGAAAAATTGGCCAAAAGTGAGGCAACTCTCACGTATAGTTGTCGTCAGTGGAGATGCCATTGTAACCGAAGACAGGAAAGCATACCTGACGAAATGCGATGATCGTGAAAATAAACATCCCCAAAACCCAAATGTAGCAAGTTAATTGAAAAGAGTACACAAGAGACTTACAAGACGATCAAAGCAGAATACGAATTTATGATGTGAATGCTACAATGCCTTGAAAAACTAAAGGACCCGTGCAAGCACGCACACCGATGTTCCGCAGCGATCTTCAAAGGACCACCGATTGGTTAAAAGTCCTTCTCTGCAAAAAATGCATTTTTCCACCTTACGATTCTTTTATATGAAATGATAGGAGGATTGGCAGCATCATTGTGATATTCTCAATCTACAAGACCAGGCTCATCATCGTCTGACAGCAGTAATGAGCTTCTACAAAAACAACACGGGTGAGTGCTTTTGAGGGAAGAGGGGTGCTTGCTGCGCGATTGCAGCAAGCGAAATGAGGTGTAAGCGCCACATAGGAAAGGTCAAGTCTGCTGCCAGATGAAGGCGCCCGAAGCAATTTTAGCTGAGTGGGCGCGAACGCGGGCACGGGCAGCTACACTTTATGGTGCCAACGCCACATGCGCCCTACGAGTAAAGCCGTTCGCGCCCCTGGATCCTGCGCCTTCATCTGGCAGTAGCTCTCACGACGGGAGTTAGAAGAAATCTCTCAACTGGAAATGCTGTTAAAATCCTGAAATTCTTTCAAAAACGGGGCGAAAAATTGGCCAAAAGTGAGGCAACTCTCACGTATAGTTGTCGTCAGTGGAGATGCCATTGTAACCGAAGACAGGAAAGCATACCTGACGAAATGCGATGATCGTGAAAATAAACATCCCCAAAACCCAAATGTAGCAAGTTAATTGAAAAGAGTACACAAGAGACTTACAAGACGATCAAAGCAGAATACGAATTTATGATGTGAATGCTACAATGCCTTGAAAAACTAAAGGACCCGTGCAAGCACGCACACCGATGTTCCGCAGCGATCTTCAAAGGACCACCGATTGGTTAAAAGTCCTTCTCTGCAAAAAATGCATTTTTCCACCTTACGATTCTTTTATATGAAATGATCTAGAAATGAGAATCGTTTGACTTGTTACGGTAGAAATTCAAACCGGACGGAATTTATGGGAAAACTTGAAATATATACGAATTTTTGATGCGGGAAGTACAAACGCGAGCAAGATAGGATTTTCACAAGAGGAACGCAGTCCCGATTTCATATGATCACTAGCAATTAGCTCTTCTAGTTTTCGGCTCAAGAAACTTGGCATAAATCAAAGTTGAATTCAAATGTTTGAACAACATTTCAAATAGCTTGTTTTAATCTACCAAACAATACCCTGAAATTCGATTATAATGAGGCGACATGATGTATTGCGGTAGTCAAGGTGCGACACATTTTGAGTAACAAACTGGTAGGTACCTTTTTTCCCTCACAGGCTTTTAGCTGCTTTTCCCGTTCTTTAACTACGGTAAGCATGAGCAAAGCTAATAAGATTGGAATACCCAATTGAAATGCTGTCCAGAGATAGCACCGTAGGGCAATTAATAAATCCTTGCTGAAACTGTAGAATTTGTGGATGTAAGATTGCCACCGTCATCTGTATAAAGCAGATGAATATCGTACAGGAGCAGCACACGAACTGTGCGAAACAAAGTCATCACATTCCAGTGCTTATGAAACAAATGAAATGAATCTTGCTTTGAGCGAATAGGCTACGAATGATTTTAATAGCAATAACATTTAGAAGGTAAGCTCACTTGTTGAAATGCGGAAACTAATGGTGGTTAGATAAGTTCATTGTTTTACAAGTTGCGCACTTCCGTTGACTTGCAACCTTATGACCTGTAAATGGTTTTGCTCCTTACGGCTCATCTGATAAGGCGAGCGAGATCAGAGGCAAATCCCTGGTATCGATGTAAAACAAAACCAAGTTTGCCTCAGCAAAAAATAGTTTTCCTTACTTTGGAAATGATGCAGTGGTTGCTTAAACAAGCAAAACCTTAATATACTGAAATAGCTTTGCCCTTATAAATATTAGGTTGTCCGGAAATTAATGCCCTTTTTGAATTTCAACCGCAATAAGTCATACACTTCTCATTTCCAAATAGGCTGCAACGTACCATTCGATAGAGCAAAGCAAGCTCTACAAGACGGCTATCTCATTTTTGCAACAGCTCTCATCCACCTCGAGTTTCGAGCCAAAAACTATAAAGATTCAGCAGCCCGAAAAATCGAAAAAAATCGTAACTCCGTTCATAAAAATCCTACAAAAATTCTTACCTGCTCACGTAAACACTATCCACATAAAGCATCTATATACGCCTTTGCCGTATTTTTTGTTCTATTAAAAATTAAGAAAACGGAAATTTTCGTGCATTTGCAAAGTGGCGCTATGCCGTCCCCACATAGGTAGTTGTATACCACAAGCCTGTAGAAGTACAGGCTCAAATTTTCAGCTCTCTACAAGCTTTAGTTCTCAAGAAATACCGAAAATAGCTTTTCCTAATAAGATGGTTCAAGCTAAAATTTAAATCTCTCGGGAAGTAAAGCTTGTAGAGCGCTAAAATTTACGTTTATACTTGTAAGGGTTTGTAGTATACAACTACCTATGTGCGAAGGCACAACATCACTTTGGCAAATGCACGAAAATTTCTGTTTTCTTGATTTCTAATAGAGGAAAAAATACGGCAAAGGCGTATATAGATGTTTTATGTGGATAGTGTTTACGCGAGCAAGTAAGAATTTTTGTAGGATTTTTATGAACACAGTTACGATTTTTTTCGATTTTTCGGGCTGCTGAGTCTTTATAGCTTTTGGCTCGAAACTCGAGGTGGATGAGAGCTGTTGCAAAAGCAAGATAGCCTTGTAGAGCTTGCTTTGCCCTATCGAACGGTACGTTGCAACCTATCTATAGATGAGAAGTGTATGACCTATTACGGTTGAAATTCAAAACGGGCATTAATTTCCGGACAACCTAATATTATACTTACTAATTTCAACACCACCTCTTAGCATGCAATCGTTTAGTTTTATGTATTACAACAATGTAACAAAGAGCGATAATTTGGCCAAATAAGGGAATCATCATAAATCCAATCAAGACCTTATGTTAACGGGCTAAGGGTTGTTTACATACGAAATCCGTAGAGCATGTTCCAATCAGCTTCTCAGCCCAAATTTTGCATAGCGCCTGCTGCCTTTATGAAAGTCCAATATGCAAAAGCACGAGTAGATTTGTTGAGTGGATCCCTCAGAAATTGCTCGCCAAGCGGATCCACCTGGCTTCTGTCAAGCAAAATTAGGTTCGTATCACCGCTTTGCAAAGTGGTGGATGTGTTTGGTAAGCAAATCTGCAAGCGATGAATTTTAGCCCAAAAAACTGATCAAAAGTTTACTATATGCGAAAAAAGCGCCAAAAAGAATTACTTGCGTAAATGGTCAATTTGCCAAGGTTCTAGCCGAGCATTTGAGAAGATTTCCGCACAGAGATGTAGCTCACGGTGACTATTGCCTTTATGGCCATTATCAAGCCCAAGAGAAATTCAAAAACCTATTCAAATTTGCATTTGTCTTTCTGCAAGTTTCATCCGCGCAAAATCACCGATCTCACGTGAAAGAGCCTTCTAAATGAGGTAGTCGATTACATTTTATTCGTGGTAGTCGGCATAGCGCGGTGAGTTCCAGTGCCACGATTTTACGAGAATGAGTAAGGCGCATAGATAGTAGAGCCAGTGCGAGCCTCTGCAAAGCAGAGGTGACGCACTGGTATATTAGAAATCCCATTACAAAAATTTTCAATCGTTTTGGAGTCTTCTGCATTGGCATTTGCGGTGACATTGTGCTAGAAGTTCTTTTTATTGTACTCCGATATTGAAAAAAGGCAATGAATGATTCGTTTTGTATGTGAATCTGATCGCAAACTGAGTCCAGCCTTACAATATGATACCGTCCCCAAACTCTTCACACGAGAGAGCTATGAAGATCAAGTGCTCATGTTTTTCTCGAAACACTCTGAGCTGGACGGACGCAGGAGCAGAGGACTACGAGGAGGGGGCGGCTTCCCTATCATTTGCAACAAATACGTGCCCCTGCACATGCCTGGAGGGTGCGTTTCTGCAAGAAATTCGGGGACCCTCGACATTCGGCGACGTGTAGTCGTCTACCTCGGACGCAGTAGTCACTGCACTGAAAGCTCTTTTACGAACAGTGCAAATGCTATTAACATAAATGGAATTTAAACCGATGTCCAATCAATTCCAACCTAGTAATCCTTTATAATAGCGGATTAATGCTGAATCATACATGCGTCTTTCCTACATTTAACACAAAATCGTTGATAAATTGGTGCAGCTAACAAGGGAAGTCACTTTACTTAGGTTGGGCTTTTGAAATGAGGCACATATGGTTGGAATCAGCTTGGAACGCTGATTTCAAATCTGCTTTTCTTAGCTGCGAAGCGTTCCTCTGAAGCGAGTTATGAGCTTTTTCCTGAGCAAATTTTGCGTGCTGACTAACTTAGGCATGCTACGGTATCATCATCTAGGTAGTGGTTCAAATGCATATTATACCCTATCAAAGCCAAATGACTCAATTTGATGTTATTTTGATTTTCCACCACTTTTTGGACAGATTTTCATCCAAAGACCTTCTTTCCATATTCAGTTGTATGTCAATGACACATACTGAAAAAGCTCATAACTCGCTTCAGAAGAAGGCTTCGCAGCTAAGGATAACATATTTGGAATCAGTGTTCCGAGCTGGTTTTAAATATATGTGTCTCATTTCAAAAGCCCGACCTAAGTTAATTGACTTTCCTTGTAAGATTTTGAGCCACATTTTATTGTAAAACTTGGTTCATGCAATTAGCTATGTAGGAAACTGGAGGATCATATCGCGAATTTTATTGCAAAATGTGAATAGAAAAGTTCACTCCACTTCGAGCATGGTGAAGGAGTAACTAGCTTTGTATCCAGACTTATAAAAAGAAATTTTTTTGGTTCTAAAAATGGGACTTCAAAATGACTCTGAGTGGCTTGCTTGAAAAATTTCTAAGCATCTCATCCTTCGTGGCGGACACTGATTTCTTGAAAGTTCCTCAACTGTTCTAAATGCTACTTGAAATGTCACTAGGAAAATTCTCGCACTTTCACTTTAATGACTGAGGATATGGAATGTTTTTCGCTTGCATCTCATTTAAAAGGGATCACTATTTTCGCAGTAAACTGAGTGCTTCAATGCTAGGACTGAGATACAGACGACATACTTGAATTTTTGAATGCGCGCGTGTAATCTTATTTTACAACTCCTAAAGGAGTAAAGCATTTTTTTCGGCAATGTAACGTCTAAAGCGGACGTTCCGCGCGAACGCTGCAACAAATACTCATCCCCACATACAAGAGGTGCGCATTTGTCGCAGTTGTTTGCGCAGGATCTTCCTTTTGGAGACATAGACTCGTCTACCCATCGTTCACCAAACACTGCGGAACTGTCTCGACACAACACACCTGTGCGCAGTTAAGGTGCAGAAGCACGAACGTTTATAAGATTAATTCAGTATCAAAAACCACTTGATTAAACTTTTGAAATAGAGTGTAGCTTTTGTTAAGTGAGCAAGAGTTCTTTTTAAATACATAGTCTCGAATCAGGCAGTGGTTGGAACATATGTACTAAATACTCATTTTGATAAGCTTCTACTTCAAGTTGGGTTTAAGATCGTTTCCACACAAATTTTAGGTCGTCCCACAAATCTAATCATATTCGACATCTTAAGCCACGTAGGAGGGTACAAATTTATGAGGGTGTTTTTGGGTGAATAAGTTATGTAATTACATATTCGCAAGAAACATAAAATTGCTATATGTAAACTGATAGCTAAACGCATTATTATTTCCTTGATTTCTAGTCATCAGAGAAAGACAGCAAATGTACAGGGAGTCCAAAAAAAATGTGAACACTGTTTGATTGTTGATAGCCCCTTGCTTTCATGTCTTTCGCCGAGCTTGAGGCACAGTTTTTTTAGAGCGAGGTTTAACTTAGATTACCAAAATGGAGCGAATAGGCGATCGCTCTTCATTACTGCAAGATTACGGTAGGAACTTCGACAAGGAATTTAGGCCATTGGAGGCCATATTCTGCCTCGGAACACAACCAAACAAGCCGAAAACTTCTATATCATGGTAATAAAAAATGCTGATTTCGAATATGAAATTTCCACTTTACTGTGATGCCTTTCCAAGGTTGTCCCAGGTAACCGTAGTAATAAATTTCAAGCATTCGTCAGAAATGTGATTACTCCGTCAAAGAAACCAAAAACACTTGTAAAAAGTTGTCTAATGGAACCGGCGTGCACGAAAGCCCTAGTACACCATTTTTCAGATTTTTTGAATAAACTTTTGTCAAATACTGACAATACACTAGAAGTACAGACCAATCTACAGAAGTCCCTAGATAATCTGAGCACCTGGGCTGAAACTTGGAATCTAACATTTAATCTGAATAAATGCTCTGTTGTCCATTTTGGAAAAGAGAATACACCTACTTAACACCTTAATGGTAGCAGGTTAAAAAATTGTGAAATCGCGAAAAAATTAGAGGTTCTGATTGACTCCAAACTCACCTTCATTGGACATATTGACATGGTGGTCAGAAAGACATACGCCTCACTGTTTTTG